TTTTATCTGTTGATTAGGGCCGGAGGAAAGTATTGTTGGGTTGGTTACCTACCTACGTTTTCCCTCCCACCCAACCCTTGCATGCATCCCGGTTCGGTACAGTGCCACGTCAGCAGCGCCACGTCACAGTGCCAGATCAGCAGTGCCATGTCAGTAGTGCCACGTCACAATGCCACGTCAGCAGTGCCACGTCAGCAGTGCCACGTCACAGTGCCAGATCAGCAGTGCCACGTCAGCAGTGCCACGTCAGACTCAGTGCCACGTCAGCAGTGATGTCAGACACAGTGCCATGTAAGCAGTGCCGCATCAGCAGTGCCACGTTAGACACAGTGCCACGCAAGCAGTGCCACATCAGCAGTGCCACGTCAGACACAGTGCCACGTCAAACAAAGTGCCACGTCAGCAACATGACGGGCCTGCCAGGCCAACTGCCCAACGAGTCCCTTGCAGCCTACAAGCAGCGGTTCCAGGCTCAGATAGAGGCTGAGGAACAACGCCAGCTGGCAGCCAAGGCTGCCCGCGTACAGGCTGAAGAGGCAGCAGCAGCAGAACAACTGCAGCTACAGGCCGATGCAGACGCAGATGCCCAGGCTCGCCGCAAGGAAGCCCAGGATCTGCTGCAGCGGCATGAAGCCAACAGCATCGACAGACTCAAGTACTGGCATATTAAACCGAACGGCGACGAGGCAACACCGGAAGAGAAGCACAAGGAGTTCCTCTCCAAACTCGTGACGCGGTTGTTGTATGCTTGCAACTACCAACTGTCAGAGTTGGAGAGATAGTACCAGGACCTGACGCAACAGCATCAGGAGTTGGCACAGCTCCGCCGCATGGTGCAGAGCCACGAGGATGCAACTCGGGCACTCAATGCCCGATTGCTGGACCTGGAACAGGCTGTACCAGGACCAGCTGCTGGGGCTTCCAGCAGTGCACCCTCTAGCCGCCAACTGGAGGACCGCGTTGACCACGTAGTGGCAATGCTCGGCGACATCAGCACTTTCGCTGCGCCGACCACCACCATCAGCAGTAAGCTGCATACATTGAAGACCAAGGTCCAGCAGCTGCAGACGACGAACGCGGATGGCAACCCGAAGATGTATAAGATGCCAACTTTCAATCTGGAGAGGTTCGACGACTACACGCAGCAGGATCCGGTCCTCTGGTGGGAAGCATTCACAACGCAACTCAGGATTCTGCCCGTAACCAAGCATGCGTACATCGGCGCCCTGTTCCTGAACTCAAAGGGCGGATGCCAGACCTGGTTGAGCCACCTGGCAACCTCCCACGGCGTCGACGTACTAGACTTGAAGGACTAAATCACATGGGAGGAACTGACACGGCTGTGGAAGAAGCGGTTCATCGTCGACAACACGCCGACACTCGCCATCAACCGTTTGTTCACCATGTCACAGGGCAACACTGCAACACGAGATTGGCTCACAGAGTGGCAGAAGATTGCGGCAGTGCCCAATCTGGAGCTGCCTTTCACTCATCTCAGACGTGAGTTCTACAACAGATCCTACGCTACATTGAGCCAGGCTCTTGGTGATTGCGAGTAATACTCCACTTTCACCGAGATTATCGACAAGGCGAGAGAGATCATCAAGACCAACAGGTCAGCTGCACACGAGAAGTCACCATGGCAGCCGACCTATGTGGAGAAGGTACGAACTGGTCCGCGACAACATCACTTCGCTGCAGTCCAGCAGGATAGTGGAGATAACCCAGCAGCCACTCCAGCATCAAGTGACGGAGATCAGGTGACTGTTGTCCAGCCGCGAAGCAACAACAAGTCCCGCAACAATGGGAAGGCGAAATCCGCATCGCAGGCCGGAAATGGACAGCCCGGACAATTTCCATGGGTCAAGTTTGGCTTGACCGAGGCGGAGTACAAGGTCCGCGGCCGCTACGGCAACTGCTATTAGTGCAACAGCACCAAGCACAAGACCTCCCTCTGCCAAGATCAGGGCAAGGAGTATGTGCGACCCCGCCTCAGCTCGGGAAACTGAGCTCCGCGGAAGGTGAGGCAACTCCACCTTCTACTCCGCCAGATTCGGCCGCCTTGCTAGCGGCCTCCTGCATATCTGGGGAGGATGCGAATGTCGCAAGTCCTCGGTATACTTACGAGGATTATGCTGTCCACTTGGTTCCACCGCTGGACCAACCGCTCCACGTGCAACAGTCCACCGCATGCACGGTTTCATCACCATCGACAACCGCTTCGGCAGCTTCGCCGCAATCTATCGCCAGGGATTCGATGGTCAGGAAGAGATCGACCCATTGACGTTCACGGACTTCCAGTGGATGCCCGTTCCCTCGACCGGACGATTGCCGAAACCGCATTGCAACGTGCTTATGGCACGATTGCCGGACTACTTGCACACTGTAGCACCAGCTCCGTTGATGGACGCCGGAGTAGAGGATGTCGACCTTCACGTTTACATTGCGAAGATCGACCGCGAGTTCAAGACGCAACGGTATGACGACATCGACGCACCATTGCTATACGTACGCATTCAGTTCGGAGAGGCGACCTGCAGTGCCTTGATCGATTGCGGCGCATCTCGCAACTACATCAGCCAGGACTTCATGGTGCGCGCCGGCCTTGGCCCACGCGTCTGGAGGAAGCCCCAGCCTACGCAAGTCACATTGGCGGACGGTCACGCGCACCCAAGTCAATCGACCGGTGCATTGACAGCGTCCCAAGGTACTTTGCCCCTCACGCAAGTGAGGCGGTGTCCTTTGACATTCTGGACACCAAATTTGACATGATCTTGGGCATGTCATGGCTGCGAAGCAAGGATCACCGGGTGAACTTCTTCAACCGCACCATTCACGTTCGTGACCGGAACGGAGTATTAGTTCCATGCACGGTGCCTCTTCCTCATCCTTCGATCAGCTGCCACGTGGTATCCGCCGCAAGCATGCGAGCTTCCATCATCAGAGACGACATCGAGGAGATGGGGGTGTGTTTTCTCCAC